CGAATGCGTATGTTCCCAAAGAAAGCATGTGCTCCATTATGTGCACCTTTGTGACGCTGGCCCCCCTTTCGGAATGCAGTGGACAGAGAAAGATCAAGCTGGCCTCAATTGCCACCAAGTTGCTTGCTTCTGTCATTCTCCACAGACTGATAAGCAGGTTTAGAAGGCAGATCTGTAAGGAAGAAGCCAGCTTTCGTTGCAGTGGCTACTACGACCACACCTTCAATTTGCCTAAATAGTTGGAGCACCGCCTTGTTTAGTAGCGACCCACTACTGTCGTGAGTATGGACATAAGAGCAGTCTTCGAGTCGGTTGATCGGAGTGCCCTTCGAGATGGTCTGCTGAGGGAAGGTGCGCCCGATATATACGCAAATATTTACAGGGCGCTATCGTCGCAACTTTCACGCAGAGTAGGTCTATGACACTGTCACCGTACTTCATTTTTTCCACCGGTGTGAGAAAAGGTTGCGCGCCGTTAACTTTGCTCTTTAGCATCCCTAATGACGAAGTATATGATTAGACATCGAATAGTTCACCCGTGCTTCATTCACACAGATCGTCTGAGGGTTACGTAGACACAATGCCTGAGCTGATGTCAGGGTGACGGCTACGCTGTTGGCTTTGCGACCAAGGCAGGAATATAGAATGAACAAAATTTTCGAGTACAGTTCGGGTTGGAATATGCGGATCGCGATGGCCTCTGCAGTGGCGAGCATACATAAAAGCGTACCCTTCCATTTGCTCATTGGAACATGATAAATCACTATCCATCCCTTTGTAGTTTGACCTTATATGATCGTACCGGCCCGTAGCTGACTCAATGGAAACAATTGTTTGCCTCAGACTAGTGTTCTTGATAAATCAATGAAAAGGTTCCATTTGTTAAGGACGAAGACGTGGAAGCAGTGTTCACTGGACAGAAGCTAAAACGTGTGGAGCTGAATGCTGTTGAGGGATTACTTGAGTTAGAGTATGCTGGCGTGCTAACGCACTGAATAGCTTGGCGCTGGCTGCCCACCTTGTTGGACAGTTTTCCAACCCCAAACTGCAAAGTTCTTCGTTAACCTTGTCAGTGAACACCTGTACACTGGCCTTTGGAAATGAGTAAATATAAACATCCAGACTACAGTAGGGCAGTTTATAATGCAGCCATTCGTTCAACCCTCCTAGACGGTTGCGAAACCTGGCCCATACGTAGACTGCCATGAAAGGCCAGTCATGCCCGAGTACAGCGGTGTCCGCAGGTTAGGTAAGGTGTAATGTGTGCACTGTCTAGACAATGAACGTGGTCTTTGTCAGTTATTTATTGCAGGAAAAGCAAGTGAAACGCTTAGTAAAGATATATCACTCAACAGGCACATGCCAGTCTAACGACGCCCGCGACGTGCGTTGTTTGCGCGCCCCGGGTGTAAATCATAGAAACAGGCGGCTAAGTGAGCATAAGTTCAAGTGGAAAGAGTGCCTTCACTTCGAAGGTAGCGTCTGCGGTTTCCCATCTACTGTCGGGCAAGGGTTCTAGAGCTGCGGAGTAGATTTTCTGAGCGCTTTTGTTGAAAAAACAAACAGATGGCCCCAACAGTGTTTCGGTTGTGGTGTTCTTCGTCCATCCCACTCGCCTTTAGACTTCCATCCCTTCTAGCTCTCATACCTTGTGCACGATATCGTATTTGGCATGGCGCCGAGCACTTGTTGAAGTTTGAGATAATTCAATTTATTTTATTGCGGCACTTTAGCAGAGGCGTGTTTATTACCCTCCTAGAACTTTTAATGACAAGGCTGCTGCACGTAATCTAGGTACTGCGGACCTGAAGTAGCAAACAACCGGACCTCTGCGACGGGATGAGGCGCGAACGATTCGCAGTACGGCGTAACCAGGCAGACATGTTTAGCTGTCCGGGATGCCAAAGAATTGGAAGCCACGGTCAAACCTAGTATCCTGATACAAGAGCTATCTGCCAGAGTGTTCTACATACACTGGTTCATCAGCATTCTAACGTGCCAGAGAAACGCTTTAGGGCAATTGTGCTCGTGAGCAGCAGACCATTGGTCGCCACAACGGGTACTGGATGGGCGGTGGTTGACCTCTGGCACACCATCCGAATACCCACCAAACAAGGACCCGCTTTACTCGCCTTTTGAAGGACTTTTATATCCTTTATATCATTGTTCACTTTTAACCTATTCAGCCAGGGGAGCTGAAGTTGTATACTGACTTCATAACCTTGGAGTTTGCAAGGGAAATACAGAAGAGCCTGACGCTCCTCTTGTTTTGAAAGAACACAAGTCAACAAACGTTGTTGGACCTAGGGCAGTTTGACCGGCGTGGACGCAAACCTAATGAGCTTCGGTAAATTTACTCCAGGAACCCCGGGGGTAGCAGGTTAAAAACACAAACATCACCACATTGAAGTACAGTAACCATCCGCGTTTTTGGTAGGACAACAATGCTGTGCATGACAGTCCTGAAGATGACACTACTATCACTGTAAGAATAACCGCGGTGAGTAGGGTCTAATCAAGGTGCCACCGTTGCAGGTGCCTGCAGCTGGGTGGCAAGATGCTTGGCTGTAATAGCCGCGCAGGAAGCATATACAAGTTAAAAGTCGGAAGAACTTGATACTTCTGGCTCAGCAAGGCAGTTGCTTACTGGAAGTTCCGTACACCCCGTTAATACCGCATTTTGTGAAGTTATAGCTTTCTTTTTCCTGCTCAATCTACGGTTTTCTGGTAAAATAGTGTGCAAAGGAGCGCCAGTAACGATGGAGTCACGCACTCACTCCAGGGGTTCAGCAGCAACTGGCTCAAAGCCGGATGCTGGATAGGGTATGAATTCAATGAAATCCGGCTGCTTGACACTATTCAACCTGTTCACCATTCCAAAAACACCCGAAAGTGTTATTCGCTCTACTGACTCTTCGAATTTCCCATCCAAAGGAGTCAACAGCAAAACAAAGCTCCCTCCGTGTTTGCCAGTCTGAAACCAATTAAATAAAAGTTACCCCTCGTGGTTACACAACCCAGTGATGTAAGCTTTAATTGGCGTTCACAGCTATAAAGTAATTTCTAGCTACTTGCTAAAACAGTATTCCTATTTGCGGGCTGACCGCTACACTCCTCATGGAAGCATCTACAGCAAAGGTCGCACTGCAGACAAACCACCAAATCGGGTACAGGTACACAGCATGTCTTTAAGTGAAGATGCAACCTACTTCAAAGAGGGTTTGAACAACGACGCTCGCAAAGCATGCTCTAAATCCCCAGAGATACACAGGTGGGTAGCCGAAGCCCAAAATCACAACGTCGGGACTGCGCGTATGAGCCGCGGGTTTACCGTGGCGCAACATATATGCCTCCTGCGCTGGTGTCCGACTGTGATTCCGTGGATATAGCTAGGGATTTCCCACATGGAACACGTGGGATTGCCTCATGAACTTAACACCAAGTTCGTTCCGTGTTAATTTTAAAAGGACCAAGTAGCGTACCATGTAGTGAGTGTATCAAAAAGTATGACGCATTTACAACACATTTAACAACTTAAAAAGCGTTTGGTCGCTTGTTAGGTACGAAATGATAACGAATTACTTTGTATTTGCAGCTTACAGGAATGTCTTTTCCCGTTTTACGCGTGTAATTTACAGCGGAGAAACCACTGCTTCTGTGAAGCGCTGTGGCCCTGCCCATTGGAAAGTTTTCGAGCTCATTTCACATCATTCTTTGTGTGTGAAGCACTTGCAGGCATCCAGATACACAACTGTGGTCAACAATGGCGGAGAGCAAATATTACTATGGCTCTCTGAATTCTTACGTGGAAGGACATTTAGAGTCATGGTTGGGGAAGCGAGTTCTAGTGTTGGCCATGCCTACAGCGGTATCCCCCAAGATTCTGTTCTGGGTCCATTGCTGTTACTTGTGTTTATAACTGACCTGGCTCCTCTTCATGAGGATCCCTGCTATATCTTCGCAGATGACTTGACGCTAGTCAGTAGGGGAAATCGAGCGCCATTGGCTAAGGACATCATCACTGTGGTGAATTGGTCAAGCCAATGGGATCTAACTCTAAATGCCATTAAGTGTCAACTATTGACTAGTAGTGGTAGCGGAATCGTAGTTCAGTCTCCTGTGGGATCTCTAGCATTGCGGTGTATTGATGAAGCCCGTAATCTAGGTGTCATCGCAGTGAACAATTTTAACGCTTCGGCACAGTGTCGCCATGCTGGCAATAAAGCGTGACACGAGTTATTTCGTCTTAAGAGGGCGCTAAATAACATTAAAGCAGATGTATTCTTGACGTTATGTAAAGCATTGGTTAGGCCACATTTGGAGTATTGTGTTCAGGCCTAGTCACCGTACCTCCGTAGTGACACAATTTGTATAGAAAAGATACAGAGACCTGCGACCAGGATGATCGAAAGTCAGCAGGGGAAATGTTACTAAGATCGTCTAAGTAGCTTAGGATTATTGTCCTTGGAACGGCTTAGGTTGAGAGGGGATTTGATAGAGACGTTTAAAATCATTAAGGGACTTAGTGGTATTACTTTCACCCATCTGTTTGAGTTGGCTTTGTCAGACCATCCGCGCAGTCATCGTCTGAAGCTCAAACATCATAGAGCTAGTTTAGACATCAGGGCAAAGCTTTTACCAACCGAGTAGTTCACTTTAGAATAAACTCCCTTCTGATTTAGTGGAGTCCGAGACCGCAGAAATCTTCAAAAGGGGCTTAGACGATCGTTGGTCCATCCTTTTTCCAGAGATATTGTAGTTGTACTGGAATATGTAGTGTATTTTGATGCTGGCATATGAAAGTGCAAAGATGGCTCTTGTTCTTGCTTCATTCCATTGCAGAAGCAAGAAGAGACAATTTAACGTCGAAGTGCCGGGGGCCGCTCTACTTACCGACACAAGAACTGGACGCTCGTTAGGCGGAAGCCTCTATCGTCTGTTTGACCTGCGCTGACCTGACCTAGAATACCTTTTGTGGTTCGCACAAACGTTACTTTAAGATGATTTACAGGAGCGAAACTGAACCACGAAATCTATATTTTAACTTGGTTATTTTTAACTTTACCTATAACGAGTCACATTACTACAATTGCGATGAAAAGCCTATTGTACCAGAGCACTTACTCCGACGTATGTTCACATTGCATCCGCGAACTTGACGGCCTCCAGCGATTCCACCTTTAGATGTGTAAGTTCGCACCATTTCACATATCTACTTACCGTTTTAATTTTCGCCGCATCACGTAGATGTTGATGGTTTGTTTTCGAGCTTTTATAGCAACTTCAGTTAATAGGTTTATGTTCGTACTCGCCCTTTCAATTTGGACAGGGACAAGCAAACACGCTCAGAGAGGATTTTGGACGACCATGCGTTTCTGAAGCGCATGGTTTCTCTAGTGTTTGACGATAGGAAACCTGGGATTACTGTTGTCTCCGCCTTTCACCTCGGCAGAAAGCAAGATGATTCTTCCAGTTTCATCCCCTTAAAAGTTTGCCAAGATGTGGCGGAATGCCGCCGCATTCTTAAGCGCACCTCGTGACTCAAGGGGAAAACATTTTATGCCCTGAAGGATCTCAGCCCGGAAAACCATGCTAAACTAAAGACGGCATCCGATGAGCATAGAAGTCGACGAAATAACGTTGAAACAAGTCTCCACATTGTGGATTTTCGTGTTGTGTGGAGAACCTCGAGAGCTCGATGGAAGCTGATCCTTGTCCTACCTGGATCGAAGGGGCAGCGCATGCACTGTGTTGTCTGCTAACGTTCGTAGCATGAGGAACAAACGGGATGAGATTCTCGCTCTCACCTCGGAGCTTAGCCTAGACCTTTTCGCTTTCACTGAGTCCTAGCTAACCCCGGACACACATGATAGCGAAGTCGATATCCCAGGATATCGGTTTTTTCGGGCTGGTCGCCATGGGATGTTATCGTTTACTGGATATCAGATCTAAAGATTCACATTATCGAGATTATTAGTGATGGCGGTTCAGAAATGGTATGGTGTCGGGTCCGTGACGGATGCAAACCCCTGTCGGGTGGCGTACAAGCCGCCGTTGACCAATAGTGCCCGCGTTCTTGACTCAGTCAAGACCTATGGGAGAAACAGGAACTGCCTAATTTTTGGGGATTTCAATGCACCGGGTGTCAACTGGGATGTACTCAACTGCATGCCGTCTCCTGAGTGCTTTGATGCTGCTCTTAGTGCAATTCTTGAAGCTAACCTAACACAGCACGTCTTAACGCCTACCAGGATACTACCGGGTCAGCCACTGCACATCCTCGATCTCTTGCTGACACCGACACTAGCTGACGTTCAGTTGCTCATTTGTTCGCTGAGCTGCGAAATTGGTTTGCAAACGTCTCGCATGATGGTGAAACGTTTGCAAACCAATTTCGCAGCTCGGCGAAGAAATGCAACTGAATTATCAACCTGAGCTACCAGTTTTCCAAAACATTTTAGACTAGCTGACGTCTTCGATCTGATTACTCCACCACCAATCGGCCATAGTGATCATTGCACTCTCTTCTCCACTTGAATGCAGCACGGTCACTCACAACCGAAGAGTCTTTCGCCTTGAGCTTCTAACACACCGATCCTTCCCGCTTGAGAAAGGTGGCTAGCACCAAGAACTAGACCATACCTCAAGATTTAGATGTTGATGGGGCCTGGAATCTTCTACCCTCCAAAATGAACCTGCTTACTGAAGAGGTCCCAAACTCCAGGATGCAGCTTCGCGCAAACCCTCCTTGGATTGATCGAAAAACGCGGCTCATGAATCAGCAACGGAAACCATGACACAAATTCAAGTTCTCTCAGCTGATTACTCGAACTACAACAGGTTCCTAATTAGGAACCTGTGTTCTCAGGCAAAACGTGAGAAGAGACAAGCTTGTACTGTTTAGCAGAACAATCATCCCCCAGACCAAAAAGCTATACGCTTATCTTAACAAGAGAACCAAAGTTTGTTGCGGCATCCCCACTCTGTCATCCAGCACGACAGGAATCGCCATTTATGAAGACGATGAGAAAGAGAACCTAGTTGCCCGGCAATACTCCTCCGTATACTCGCCACAAGCTCAGTCGACCTAGTCGCCACCGGTGGCCGAGTGGTCTGCACGTTCGGTTTGCAACCTAAGGCCACCGGTTCGAATCCGCGTAGGGGTGGGCGTCTTCGCGGTATACTCAGCGCGCGCGCGACTGGTGGTGGTCGCGCGGCAGCGAAGCGCCGTTACGGCGTACAGCTGACACATTATTATTATTAATATTATTATTATTATTACAATCGACCTACATACATGAGTCCACGCACTCCTGGCTGGCTTGCCGAACTACCTCGTGGTGCCAGCTGGGTGGTTCGCTTGTACCCCGTTCCAGCGAAGTGTTCGGCGACACTGTTCCACCTCAGTGGGGCATTGTAGTTCAGCAATTGTGCTGATTTCATGGGGAGCATTGGGCCCCTGTTTGGTGATCTACCAAACGAAAGACGCATGAACTAAGCATCCAGTCAGCACCTCCCAGTGGGCGCGATTCCCTGAATTCGCCCCGCTGCCTTGTGTGTAGGTTATTTTGCCAAAGGCTCGGTGTGGGGTCCCTTAAGTCCAACTTCCTACTTCGGTTTGGGCAACCGGTAGTATCCCGTCCTCTCACAAAACCGTGGACTGTACTACAAAATGCTTAACAGCTACCGCTTCTGCTTCTCACATTCACGCGACTTCATTACACGCCAGTTGTTTGTTTGCCAACCATCCTTACTTTCTGTTACCCGATTCATATTTTCAGCAATCTGGCTGCTATTCCGGTTGCGCCGCGAACCACGGAGTTCAACCTATGACTCTTCTTCGTCCCCGATTCTCTTTCCGTCTGGCGTGCTTCAACGTTCGGACACTCATGCAGATTGGACAGCAAGCCGCTAGCGCACACCCTAGACATTGGTGTCTGCTGCCTTACAGAAACCCGATTGCACGATACCAACACTGTGCTTACATTGACATCTCCCAGTGATCACAAAGCCAGATATCACCTGCGTCTTTCTGAAGATCCAGAAGCAGCATCAGCGGGTTTGGCTGGTGTAGGTATAGTACTAAGTGGCAAGGTCGAGGCGGCACTACTGGACTGGTTCCCGATTAACAGCCGACTATGTACAGTTCGGCTTCGGGGTTCATGTAGAATCAACAAGCGCCTCGAAGAGACGCAACTTGTTTGTGATCTCTTTATACGCTCCACGTGACTGCAATGGTCGATCGGTCAAGGATGAACTCTGCCGAGACCTACACCAGCTCTTGACTAATGCTAGAAAGTCTGATGTCGTTGTTCTTGCTGCGGATTTCAATGCACGGGTTGGCCGCCTGTTACCATACGAACGCCACCTTGGTGCTCACCACTCGCTCGCTGAAGACAGCTCTGATGACGGAGAGAGGCTTCTCACATTGTGCAAAGACAACCGTCTGTTTCTCTCGAGCACTAACTTCAGGTTTTCGAAGAAGCGTTCCGCAACGTGGCGCCCCCCCTTCGCCAACACAATCGTGGTCTCAAATTGATCACATTGCAGTTAGCTTCAGATGGCGTGGCAGCGCACTGGACTGCTGATCTTTTTGGTGCCTCAGCTGACTCAGATCATGCACTGGTCTGCGCGAAAATCGGCATATGTTTTATGGGGTCCTGAAACAGGAAGCACCGCAATATTGATGTTTTATGGTTAGAACAATCCTAATTAATCCAACCACCATGATCATCGATCAACCGCTATCGATTACGCTATTGAGAGCTCCGTCAGCCAGAGCATTCGGCATCATGGGCTGACGTAGTACGGTTGTCCAACTTCTGGCCTATAGCCAAACTTGGTCAAATACATATATTTCCAATACAATATGTCCACTCTATTAGAACCTTCTTGCAGCAGTTTGGCGAGGGAGGTAGAATAGATCAAGACGCTGTTTTTACAGCGACTTGGAATATAATTTTTTCCCAAAAACATGAGCAATTTGGATCCTCTCGGTTACACGTGATTTGGATTTCAACAGTATTTCTCCAGCCAAGTGGAGATTCATCATAATCTTCATCAACAGCACTATATCAGCCATTTCAACTGATGCTTCGCTGCCATCCAACCATGTGGACCTATGAAACAAAGAATAAGAAGAGGGAGAGAAGCGGGACTTACCTGAAAACCTTAGTGCCCTTAGGAAACATTCTGGGTCAAGGCGCCTACACCTTGTGTAGAGAACATACCGTCACAAACAGCTGGCTATCGTGCAAAGATAAGGCGGCATCGACGAGACAGCTTCCTTGCGGTTTTCACTGCCACGCGTTGTAATCAGCCATTACCCCGCAGATAACTCAGCACCAAACACACTTTAAACAGGCAATCCGATTAGGAGACGGCAGCAGACGCGCCACTGGTGTCGGTTGCGAGCCATGTCCTGTAAAGTCTCGAGCCAAGCACAAGGCGAGTCACGTGGACTCCAGCCCGGAAGGCGAGACGGACCAACGGTACCCAGTTTGTTCATCAGTGACTTCATTTCCCGCTGCTAAGTCAACTTCTGTCCACCTCGAGCCTTGCGCCACCCTACACCTGGCAGACTGAACAAGGCCCTCCTAGGTAAGCGGTGACCAAGCATGCGTAGCACGTGCCCGAGCCAACGCAACTTATTCGGTGCTATCTGTTGTTCTAGGGAGCTAGCATGATTATCACTACTTAGTACTCGCCTACGCACATCATCGTTGCGGATACGCTGGTGCCATCCGACACCCGCAATGCTTCGCAAACAACGATGGTCAAAGACTTGAAGGCGCCTCAGATCTTCAGACCGAAGGGGCCAAGTCTCACTACCATACAGCAGAACGGTCCTCGCTGTGGCCTTGTATACACGGCCTTTCCGACGGAGGGAAACTCTCTTCTGTCGCCAAAGATGCCGCAGGTTCAAGTAGGCAGCTCTGGCTTTTGCAATGCGTGAGCTGACGTCAGTTTCTATGCGCCCATCATTGCTGATGCAGCTGCCAAGATAAGTGAAATGATCAACCACCTCGAGTTCCTCGTTAGCAAGCATCAAGGGGTCATCAAGTGGCTGGTGGTCCTGCAGCAACACTTTGCACTTTGAAAATGCGAAGTGCATACCAAATAATGGGACC